CGCTTTGGGCAATGAGAGCGCGGGCCGCATCACGAAAATACGACGATGACGTGCTTGTGTTCACCATCATCATCATCATCAGCAGCATCATCATCAACAGCAACAACAGCATCATCATCAGCAACAGCAGAATAATTATCAGCAGCACCATCATCAGCAGCAGCATAAGCATCATGAGCAGCATCGTCATCTACGGCAGCAGCATCATTACCAGCAGCAGTATCAGCATCAGCATCATCATCAGCTCGTGTTTAACCACTGCTGGATGAAGGCGTCCCTCCTCCAGACGGTCTGGCGCTACGGTCCATGTCTGTTCCCTGACATTTGTCGAGAACAAAACATCTCCAGAGGGGGCCCACTGCAAAAAATACCCCCCCCCCCACACCGTGGCATTACGTGTTTGCTAAGACAAGCGGCACTGTGTTTTTTCAGTGGTTTTAATGTCACTGATTTAAACGACACCAGCGATATGAATTGCTGTTTTACGAGGTTGTTTTCCTTTCATCCACGCACAGAATCCACTTGTCTCCCTGGAGCGAAGGGTAGTAGGGCGTTGGACGATGTGTGCCTTTGTCTTTGTAGGAGAGCGGTGGCGCAGCGGTTAGCGCACTGCACTACGAACCCGGCCGGCGAACCGAGTTCCATTCCCGCTCACGGTCAACGTCAGTGACGGATATCTGCACCAGTCCTGGGCCGCCCTTTAACTCGGCTACGTCTTAAAGTAGTACCATGTGCTGTGTGTAAACATCAGCACTGGGGAGACAAAGGCGATCGGGTGTAGTGCTGCCCACCAACCACCCTCCTCGTTAAGCCGCGCCGACCTTCGTATGTTTTCGCTAACAGCACTTGCCCCAAGAGCCCAATGAAGGCTATACGGGAGATCTTTGTCTTTGCTTTGTCTGAGTGTAAGCGGATGGGAGATGGGCTAGTTGGCTTCGGGAAGATTCGGAATTGATTGGACCTACTGATGGTGGGTGGTGAGGGGGTTAGGGGGGGGAGAGGATGGAGTAGATGAGAGGGGAGGAGGAGGGGCAAGTGGGAGAAGGAGTGGGGGGGGGGATCTTTCCTGCTCTGGCGTCTCGGGGTCTATGCCTCAATCCGCCTCCACAATTAAATAAATAAATCCCACCGAGCTCACAGTTGTGGCTGTCATTGAACGGGCAGCTTGAGAAACCCAAAAAGCTAAGACCCCCCTCCCACCCACGCTCCCACCCCGTGTTCGCTGCCTTGTAGACACACAGCGGGGGCGGGGGGGCAAAGAGATAGAGAGGAGAGGGGGGGCATAGTGAGAGAGAGAGCGAGGGTGGAGACGGAGGGAGTGGAGTGGCGGCAGCTGAGAGAGAGAGAGTCCGAGCGAGAGAAATGCGCGTCGAGGGAGTTGAGTTACGTGCAGAACGCGCTCCTATATCTGTAAGCACCCACATGTTTGCGCGTCTGTGCCTCCACATACCTCTCTACGCGTGTGTGCTTGCGTGTCGAACAGAGGACCCATAGACTAACATAGAATCCATATGATGATATAGGATCCAGATAATGGCATAGGACCCTTAGACTAACAGAAAACCCATAGAATGACATAGGACCTTTAGACTAACAGAGGACCCATACAATGACATAGGACCCAGAGATTAACCGATAAACCCATAAACTAACAAAAGGCTCATCATATATTTACGTAGGATTCATAGACTTGTATAGGGCATATGAATGTGTACGCTATTGTTTACGTATGTAAGCGCACTGCGCGAACAACCCAGCTTCCTTCGTTCGAATCCAAACAACGGCTTACATCAGTGGGTCGACAATTACGTCGATTCAGCCTCAAATGTAAGTAGCTTTGTAAACATCTCCACTTGGGGAAGACAAAGGCGGCCGGTTTACAGGCCACACCACTCATTCGTGCATCGTTCTGGTCGTTATAGGTGCTCGCGACAGTACTTGGCCCTAACAGCCTGTGGCATGTCTACACGGTAGATGTGTTTATTATCACATTACTCTTCCACAATTTAACGACCTGCACTGGAAATGCGTGGCCTCGTTTGGCGCAGAGTGAATGACGATCGCGGCTCCCTCGCGGAATGACCACGGCGTGCGGTAGAGCGCGTGGTGGTTGCAGGCTACTGCGAGGCTACATCGGTGGCAAAGCAGTTCAGACTTAAAACAAAAACAATAGATCCATTGTTGGGACGTGCTATGCTCCTACGTGTATGCTCCCCACCTTGACAAAACCAGGGTGGTGAAGTATGGTCAAATAAACCCCTACGAGCGGCACGGTGTAGAGAGGCTGTTATTCAGCGGGCGGACTGTCAAAAGGGAAGTACTGTACTGCATGCACAATGATATTACAGAGAATAGCATTTGGGCTGGAATCGAACTTTGCCAAGTCCAGCCAAGCGGCTCCGACAATTTGGCACACCTGGTTGAATTACGCAAAATCGACGTACAAGTCACATTTACAAGTCCAAAGTCATCATCATGCAAATTATTATCATGGCAATTATTGACCCAGGACAGCCTCAATGAGTCTCAAGACTCTTGCTCAGGAGGATCCTGCCACGTTGGGGGATGTTTGACCGATCCCAGAAGGAGTGAGAGTTTGGCGTCGCGTGCGAGAGCCCAGAGACATCCCGGCACCCTGCACACGAGGGGCACCACTCAGGATGCGCCTACGATGCATCGGATGAGTCTTGTACCTACCTACTTGCTGTACTGCAATGTACAGGCCGCCCCGGCTTATCGGGATCACGTAACAACAACTATATCGTGTGTGGAATGTTGATATTCTTCCATTGGCCATTATCATGCCAATTATTAAGTCAGCACAGCCTCGCTGAGTCTCAAGACTCTTGCTCAAGAGGGTCCTGGGGGATGTTTGGACGACCCCAGAAGGAGAGGAGTGAAAGTTTGACGTCGCGTGGGAGGAGGAGACCCAGAGAGCCCAGAGTCAACCCGGCACCGCGCCGCTGTAGACGAGGGGAGACACTCGGGACTGGCACCTCCTGGCCACCACCTCGCAGCAGCCTCACGCCTACAGCACCATGCAAGCCCTGGTGGTGGTCACCCATCCAAGTATCAACCAGACTCATCTCTGCTTAGCTCTCTGATATCCGATCCGATCGGACTCGTTTATTGTGAGGTTTGTGAGCGCCTGCGAATGCACAAACCGCACCAGAGCCCTCGCGGGGCGAACAGCAGCCTCACGTGACGCAAGGAAGCGGTGGTGTCACTCGTTTCATGGGTCGGTGGGTTGTAACAGCGCCTCTCCTCGCTTCCTCATCACGGTCATCATTGCCATAATACATAATCATCGTCGTTATCATCGTCATCTCGATCACCATCTTCATCATCTCCACCCTTCACCTCCGTGTGGCAGATGCCAGGCGGAGGTGGCCATCCTGCACGTGGCAGCCTGGAACCCAGCGCTGTGAAGGCAGCTGCCAGGGTTGGTGGGTCACCGCATTCAAGTTGCGTGGGCGTCCACGAGGAAAGGAAGTTCCGTGGCCTGGCTCGGCAGGAGAAGGCGGCGCAGAACAGTGGGGACGAATCCCAATCTGTCCCTTCTGAGCGCTGTTCCCTTCGCGTTTTCGCGACGGTTTTTTTTTCATCCGATCGCTCCAATTTCCTCCCCACATGTATAAACATTCAGTAAATGGCAAAACACATCGGAATGAATAAAGGACTACAGAACTTGGGCAATTATTGGCATCACCGGCTGCTGCCTTTCAGATAGCTTGTGGTTCCTCCGGCGACTGTGAGATGCAATTTGCCCGAGCGACGAAGCGATTTATAAAACGACATTAAAACGACAACATTAGAACGGGACCAAAGGAACGGCGGTGGCTCCGACAATTCCACTTCAATTAAAACAGACGACCCCGCCCCTCGTCCCCCCCCTCCAACCCCTGCTCCTCCCCCCTCCCCCCTCCCGACACAGTTGCTTGCTGGTTGTGCTGAGTTGTAGCAGAGCACTCTTCCATGATCATGTCCACCCAACCCTCCCTCCCTCTCCTCGCTGTAGCGGCTGGCCGCACTTTAGCCCATGGCTTGGCATCGCATCGCCCGCAACCTCACCTCAGTTGAACCTGCCCTCCCCCCTCCCCACGGGAGCACACTCCTGCAATCTCCTGTGGTGATTTTCCAGACGGAAGAGCAAGCAGCGACGACGGCGATGACGATCTCTGCCGACCCGCTGCGTCGCTGACGATTCCGTCGCGTCTCGAAGCCTCCCCGCGGTGGCGGCGCGCGCGCTGCCCCCACCGGGCGGCCACCACGAGGAGCGGCGCCAAGGCCACGGAGCTCGCAGGCGAAGAGAAATAGCCCCGCAGTGGCGGGGGGGGGGGTCCCTACCCCTGTGATAAGAGGGGGGCTGATGAGCGGACTGACCCCCTCGCTGTCACCTCTGTCTCTCCCATCGTCTAGGGGCTCGTGACGCGGTAGAACGTTCGAGCGGTCGGGGGCGTTCGCCGCTTGTCGTCGTTGTTGCAGCAGAGGTTCGCGGCTCGACTCCAGCGGCCGCTCTGATTAATACTGCCCGCTGGGTGAGCCATAAGATACGCGCCATCTGCTTCACCACGGCGGACGTTAAAGACCCCGTGGTGTCATCCGCAAAAGTAAGCCATCGTGGGCAAAAATTACACCGCAATGACTCAATTGGGATCCACTGAGGAATCATTTCCCCCCCCCCTCTCCTCCCTGATTGCTAACACTTGGGACAGGATCCTCCTGAAAAAAGTGGCACGAGGCTCACGATTTCCTCGCTGAGCGAGCGGAATCTCCGTCATCTGCATCGTCCGCGTAGCGAGCGGCATCGGACGCACGCCAGCAACAGGTGCTGAGCTCGCAGCTCCGAGCCGAGGGTCAGATACTGCCCGGGCGCCCTGAGCCTCGCTCTCCTTGCCCAAGGGAGAGTCCGGGGAGACGAAGGCGGGTGGGGTGGGGGGTGGAGCTGAGGGGGAGGGACTGGTGGTGGAGGGAGGAGGAGGAGAGGGAGTTGCGGAGAGACAGAGACAAGCAGGGGCACGCAGGGAGGCAGGCGCCGAGGAGGCGCGCATGCGTCTCACGCTGCGCTCCCTGAACACAGCGACGGGAAGAGCAGCGGCGGGGTGGCGGGAGGGGGGGGGGTCAAGGAGACGAGGGGAGGATAAGGGAGAGAGTCCGAGAAACGTGAGCGCGAGAGACGAGAGTGGAAGACGTCGGGAGGAGAGAGCGAGAGGCGCGGAGTACGAGGGGGAGTCGAGGAGTTGAGGGAGAAGACAGGGGAGACGACAGATATAGACGAAGGGAGAGTCGGGGAGGTGAGAGTGGAAGAGACAGAGAGAAAGAGAGAGGGAGACGCGCCATGGGCTACAACCAGAACATGAGGAGGGTTCCACTCCAAGCCCGGAAGAGGTAGCGGCGGAGCTGTGGACTCTTCGTGACCCCCCCCCCCCCGCTAGCGTCAATCGCCTCCTCGTCACCAACCTCGTCAATTGCCCTCCTCGCACTCCTCGCCCCCATGAGGATTGATTACGGAGCTGACCCCGGCAGAGCGAGGAGGAACGCGGCTACAGCTGGTGAGTGATGTTCGCGTGTGTGAGTGAGTGCGAGTGGTGATGTGAGCGAGCGTGTCTGTCTGTGTGTGGTCTTCGTGCGCTCCATGTGGTGTGGCTTTGTGTGTGTGAGCGTGTCTTGTTGCATCTGGGCACCTGGGTCTGTTCCGTGACCTCCTATCAGCGAGCCCTCGACACTGCACGTGGCCTCGTAGTGCACCTAGCATGGCACAAACGCCGTGGTAACGTCGCCGCCACTTGGTGGTGCACGGTGGTGGTGGTGGTTGTTGTTGTTGCTGAGCTTGTCTTCGTGTGATGTGTTTGTGTGTGCCCTGTGCGTGTGTGCTGTGTGAGTGTGTCTGTGTGCATTTTGTATACAGTATGTGTTTACGTGTGCATGTTTAGCTAACAACACTTGCCCCTGTTGGAGGCTATATGGAGGATATTTGGCTTTGTAAATCTGTGTGTGGTTGTGTTATGTGCGCGCAACATGTGCTGGATAGAGGGTTCGTGCAGCGGTTAGCGCGCTGCGCTACGAACCCGGCGACACGAGTTCGATTACCGCGAACGGCCAACACCGGTGATGATTATCTGAACAAGTCCTGGGCCTCCTCTAGGTCGATTCAGCTTCAAATAATGAGAGAAACAAAGGCGGCCGTACCGACCTCCATAGCTACAGTACTCGCTAACAGCACTTGCCACAACTGTCTGTCGAAGGCTATCCGGGGGATCTGTGTCTTGTGTGCAGTTTGTGCAGTATATGCGTGAGTGCTGTGTGTCTGTGTGTGTGCAATTTGTGCAGTATATGCGTGTGTGCTGTGTGTGTGCAGTTGTGCAGTATATGCGTGCGTGCTGTGTGTCTGTGTGGGTGCAGTTTGTGCAGTATATGCGTGGGTGCTGTGTGTCTGTGCAGTTTGTGCAGTATATGCGTGCGTGCTGTGTGTCTGTGTTTGTGCATTTTGTGCAGTATATGCGTGGGTGCTGTGTGTCTGTGCAGTTTGTGCAGTATATGCGTGTGTGCTGTGTGTCTGTGTGTGTGCAGTTTGTGCAGTATATGCGTGTGTGCTGTGTGTCTGTGTGCAGTTTGTGCAGTATATGCGTGGGTGCTGTGTGTCTGTGCAGTTTGTGCAGTATATGCGTGCGTGCTGTGTGTCTGTGTGTGTGCAGTTTGTGCAGTATATGCGTGGGTGCTGTGTGTCTGTGCTGTTTGTGCAGTATATGCGTGTGTGCTGTGTGTCTGTGTGTGTGCAGTATATGCGTGTGTGCTGTGTGTCTGTGTGTGTGCAGTTGTGCAGTATATGCGTGCGTGCGTACGTTTCACAGCTGCTCGATAACAACAGCCCGGGATCTCTGTCTCGGTATGTTTACGCGATATGTGTGCAGTGTATTTGTGGACTGCGTTCTGTCTGTGGGAGCTGTGCGGTGTGTGTGTGTGTGCTGTCTGTGGGAGCTGTGCGGTGTGTGTGTGTGTGCGGTGTGTGTGTTCTGTGTGTGTGTGTGCTGTCTGGGAGCTGTGCGGTGTGTGTGTGTGCGGTATGTGTGTTCTGTGTGTGTGTGTGTGTGCTGTCTGGGAGCTGTGCGGTGTGTGTGTGCTGTGCGGTGTGTGTGTGAGCTGTACGGTGTGTGTGTGTGCTGTCTGTGGGAGCTGTGCGGTGTGTGTGTGTGCGGTGTGTGTGTGCTGTCTGGGAGCTGTGCGGTGTGTGTGTGCTGTGCGGTGTGTGTGTGAGCTGTGCGGTGTGTGTATGTGTGCTGTCTGGGAGCTGTGTGGTTGTGAATTGTGTGGTGTGTGTGGTTGTGTGTGTGGTGTTAATGTGTGCGTGCACGAGGTTATCTGATCGTGTATGCATGCCTACATGTGGTTGTCTGTGTATGCACGAATGCTGTTGTGTGTCTGTATGTACGCGTGTGTGTAAACGCTTATGTTTCACGTGTGCATGCATATGTCTGTATGTATCTGTGCTTGTGTATGATGCATGCATGTGCATATTTGTGCCTGTATGTATGTATAGTATCTGCTGTTGTATGTCTACACATGTATGTGTGCACGAGTCCGTACGTATCTGTGCATGCATGCTTGTATTCCAATGTATTCATGTCTGAATCTGTATGTGTGCTTGTGCATGTATGTACGTATGTTAGAATTAATGTATGTATATTGTGGCGGGCGGTATTTTAGCGGTGAGCTCAACTGCGCTAGGAACCCAGTGATGATTATGTGAACCAGTCCTGGGACTCCCCAAGGTCGACTCAGCCTCAAATGAGTAGCAGGAACGGTGTGTAAAACATCAGCACTGGGGAGACAAAGGCGGTCAGGCGTGGTGCTGGCCGCCCCAACCCCCTCGGGTGCCGTGCCAGGCGTTCATAGGTGCTCGCTAACAGCACTTGCCCCAACAGTCTCTTGAGGCTGTTCGGGGGATCTTTGTCTTTGTATGCACGTGTTTACGGGTGCATCGCGTTGCCAGGCGGCTGCTGTTGTTTCACAAACGATTAAAGTCGGAGGCTTTCGCGGGACAATGGACAGAACCACCTGTTCACGTGACCCCCTCGAACGCACTGACGCTGCTTACAATAATCACTCTCCATTCACAACCCCCAACCACAAACAACAACATCGTCATCAACAACAACGAACGTGCAACAGCAAGCTTAACCAACGCATCCGTGATTGTGTACACAATGGGACATGTATTAATGTGCTTTGAAGAAGGGGCATTGACCGAAACGTCACCTATTATATTTTTTGGTTCCCTTATAGACGAATGTGGTGAGTGTTTGTCATTGTCAAAAATCGTCTTCCACTGATGCGTTCCACTCGGAAATGTGCACATTCCGAATGTTGATTTCAATGTCCTTACATCGTCATCATCATCACCATCACGGCGTCGCCAGACAACAGCAGAACGAGACAATGGTCGTGGGCCGTACCCCTCCCGCGCCGGGACAATGTTTGGAAATATCCGCACTGTCCCACGTGTGTGTGTGTCGTTGCAAGATGCACCTAGTCTGGCACCAACGCCGTGGTGGCGTCACCGCCACTTAGTGCCGAAAGCCGGTTGTTGTAGTTGTGCATGTGTCTGTGTGTCAGTCTTTGTCTTGTGACTAACTCAGCCTTAACTGAAACTCAGCCTGAACTGAAAACCTGTTTTGGTGTGTAAACCATCGGCACTGGGGAGACAAAGGCGGCCGAGCGTGGCGCTGTCCTCACTATCCCTTCGAGCGCCGTGCCGATTTTCATAGGTGCTCGCTAACAGCACTTGCCCCAACAGTTTGTTGAAGGCTATACGGAGGGGGGGGGGGGGGTCTTTGCCTGTGTGTCTGCGTGTGCACGTGTGGATTTGTGGTCCGCTCGTCTTTGCATTCGTTCGTGTCTGCAACACATGTATGTGCACACACGTGTCACGCGGAATCCGGACCCCGGCTGCTCCTGGGGTCAGACGAGGGAGGGGACACGGTCAATACCACCCCCAACTCCCCTCCAACCCCCCCAAACTCCCCTTAGTTCAAGCCCCCCCCCCCACTCGCTGCTCCTCACGGTAACCACCGCCACCACCGCCACTTGTTAGCGTCCGCGTCGCAACTCGCCCCCACTGCGCGCGTCAAGCCCACGAGGAGCAATTCCTGCTCCACCACCCTCCCTGTTTCCCTCCTTGTCTCTCCATCTCTGTCTCGTCCCTCGCTCCCCGACTCCCTCCCTCTCCGCACCGCGGTCTGCCCCCCCCCCCCGTGTTCATCCCCCTGTCTCCCTGTGCTCCCACTCCGCATTTCGCTCTCTCTCCCTCGTTCCATACATCCCAGCTTCCTCCTTCCCGCCTCCGTCTCCCCCAGCCTGCTCCCTACCCCCTCCTCCCTCCCTCCCTCTCTCTCTCGTGCTCTTTTCGCAGAGCAATTACTCGGCTCGATTGACTCGATGCACTCCTCCTCATTTATCCATTCACTCACTCACACCTCGTTATTCACTCGCGCCAGACGGTCGCTCGCGCACCGAGTCAACGTTCACCCACCTACCGACTCACTCACTCACACCTCGGATTCCGCTCGTGTGCTGCTGTCACCACGGCCATGTGTTTATCTCGTATTTGGGCACGTGGCCACATAGCCAGCGGTGGATATACCAATGGCTCGCGATGTCTGTCGCGCCGAGGGATGCTCCAGGGTCCGTGTCTCACCGCAGTCACGAGTGCGTCATTGTCGCGAGAGTGATACGCGTTCACTCACTCACCCACCCGCTCACCCATTCACTCACCCACCAATTCACCCATTCACCCACCAACTCACTCGTCCACCCGCTAATTCAGCCACCCACGAACAAACCCACGCGACTACCCACACCCCACCCTCCCAACGGCTCACACAGCTCACCTACTTCACCCTCGCACCACCGTTCTGTGCGCTGCGGGATTAATTGGAGCCACGTGACGAGTGACGAGCTCGTGAGGAGCGAGCTCTGCCCGTCACCGTCTCAAGACGGCGACAGCGCTCGAGAGGCAAAGCCACGGGGCTCCTCGAGACCGCAGCTCCTCGACTCCTCGTGTCCACCTGGCCTCCCCCATCGTCCCAAGTATTCAGTCACCTTGTTTACCGACGGTTGGTTTTATTATTCGACCAATGGGATAACGCGAATATCGTCGGTTGGGGTAGGCGGGCGAGAGGGGCAGCCTCGTTCGTCGTGGAGCTTTGTGACGTCATCACCAGCCGCGTTACGCTGGGCGTGGCTTGTCGGAGGTTTCCTGCCTTCGGGAGGTGGGATGTAGCGGGGGGAAGGTTGGTGCTGCAGCAATTTTTTTAAAGGGGCCCGAGTAACGGACCACGATAAATTAGTTGATTAAAACACTAAAGCACGTCGTCCATTAATCGGTTCAATGACATTTATCGACCAGATTGAGTTGCGTGTTGTTGAAGGTTGACGGTAGGGCGTGTGCCGCCGTCGGTAGTGCCAGTACTGCCCGTAGCACGTGGTCTGCGAGGCGAATGTTCTCCCGGTGAGACGAGTAACAGCTGCGCGTCGCTACGAGCCGGGAGTCGCC